GGGGGGGGGGGGGGGGGGGGGGGGGGGGGGGGGGGGGGGGGGGGGGCGGTGTCGTCCGCTGTCAGCGGTTCTCATCGCTCTTTGCCGTGGCGGCCCTGGAAAAAAAAAACGCTGAACCGAGCTGCTCGAAACCGACATGACGTTTGGACGAAAAACAAAGAAGGAAAAACAGACTTACCCGCCGAGGCATTGATGGTGAAGCACAAGGAGGCGTCCGTTGTAGTCGGAGACAGACCGAGATGGAGGAGGTGGGGGGGGGGGNGGGGGGGGGGGGGGGGGGTGACCCAGAAAGTACTGTCCGAGGCTGCAAAGCAACGAGACTGTCGGCTTCGCGCCGTCCACCTTGGAAGTTCCACCTGCCCACCCCAAGCACCACAACTGGACCAAAATAAAAAGGGACCTCACACAACTGGACACAAAGCAACACCCAGAGCCCCGGGCGCACGCCGAGAAGCCAGCCAGCACACGCCCACGGAGACGGCCCAAAACACACACGCAACGCAAACGCACGCACGCACACACCCTCGGTCGGTTGCCGCTACCGATGCTGCTGTAGCCGCTTCCGCGTCGTCTTGGCGGCGATTTCTGGACGTTGTCCGTCTTCTTCGAGCTGTCCTCTTCGCCCCCCTGCGGCAACCACAACCCGCTCCCTGCTGGTGCTTCCGCAGCCGTTTCCCCCTCTGCTTCCTCCTCGTCCCATGCCCCCCTGGTTTCGAGGATCGTCATGACCTTCGGCACCAGCCCCACGACCGCGAGGCTCTCTAGGGCTTTCAGGTTATCCTCGACGATCTTTATTTTTCGGAGTGCAGGGGTTTGCCACAGAAAAACACATATGACGGACACGGGAGCAAAGGGGGCATAACAGAGAAAGAAGCGTTGGGGTGCCTCGCTAGGATGCCATCAAATCACCGTCGTTGGTGCTGGTGGTGACGTTGGTTGTCCTGTCGTGCTGCATGTGTTTTCTCTCAAGCCCGAAACTAGACCGACCAATAAGCCTCACTAACCTTGTTGATGACCGCCAGAACGTTGGCCATGGCTTCCTCCCCCTGCCGGTCCTCGGGCTTCATCGCCTGCATCAGGTACATCAGCGGGGTCACCCCCCTGGCAAGAAAGCACACAAACACAAAACAACGAAGAAGACGGGGAGGGAGGGGTCTCTCATGATTGAGTGTCAAAAAACAGAGGGCGGGGGAGGGGGGAGGGGGGAGGAAGAGATGGAGAGACTGGCGGGGAGGCCGCCTTGCACTCTAGTTTTTGACACTTCGTGTTCTATTTGAGAAGGAGGAGGAGGTGGAGGAGGAGGAAGAGGCCGTTTCATGACTATTTGGGGACGCTGGCAGGTATGATGGAAGATAGGGGGTCATGAGGGCTCGATAGCGGCGGACTATCGCAGCAGCCGCAGCAGCTTGGTGGAGTCAAGCGCTTCGTGAGGGACGGATGCTACTTACAACAACGTACAGGTAGCTCGACGACAGCAGCACTGACAGCAGCAACACCACAAGGGACAGCCAGCAAACACCGTCCTAGACAAACAAGCGCACCATGGGGGAAGCCTGTAGTTTCCGTCCATCCACGCGCTCCTCCAGGTTACCTCTCGCCTCTCGCCTTAAATCTGCTCCGCGTGCACTGCGCACGAAACACTACTTGTGCCCTTCGAGCCCTACATACGTGGGTAGCGAGCAAAAAGAGACAACAAACGTCTCTCTCTCTCTCTCTTTCTCCCTGCTGCCCGTTGCCCCCCTCTCACCGGTCGGCCGACATGACGTAGTGCCGCGCCTGCGGGCACCCCTCCAGCCTCTCGCACACCGACACACACGTCCGCACCACCTCCTCCTCCATCGTCACCACCTCCTCCTCCTCCTCCTCCTCCTCCCCCTCCTCCTCCTTTTCATCTATTACCTCTACCTCCGTCACCGTGCTCAGCAAACGCCCGGTGGAAACCCCGCCGGTGGCGTCGTTACCAGTCGGGACTGTAACGGCGGCGGTTCCGCCGCCACCCCGACCCTTCTGCTGCCCGTCGCGACACCGCAGGTTGACGCTGTTGTTGCCGGCCGCGGAGCCTCTCGTCTCCAGCCTTGAAAGCTCTGCGAAAACTTCTTGTCCCACCTGGACGTGAGAGAGACAACGCAGAAGAGCGAGACGTGGTCCACATAGAGGGGGTGGGAGGAAGAGGGAGAGAGAGAGGGGGAGGGGGAGAGACAGGCAGGAAGAGGGAGAGGGAGAGACAGGCAGAGATAGAGAGAGAGGAAGACAGAGAAAAGTGAGAGGAAAGCAGAGAGGCAGACATAGAGAAAGAGGCAGACAGAGAGAGAGGGAATCTTCCGGTCGCAGTACAGTATAAAAAAGGAAACACATGCAACAACTCCCTGCTGACATAGCGCCGTAGCCAAAAAGCGGGTTCCCATTTCACAAAACACCAGAACCAAACAAGGGGTAGCCATTGCCAAAACTTCATCTCCAAGCATGAGCAATATCGCTTTCTTTTCCACAAACAGCACTGATACTATTACCTTCGCACCATGAGTACATTCTGTGATTCCGAAGGTCAAATCAAAACAATCACTTTTGAGTAGTCTTACCTACAGTAGCCCCTACGACTACAAAAACGACTACAAGAAAAAAAAAGAGCGATCTTCATACCTTGGCGTGCATCTCTCGCTCGGCCTCCTTGCCGTTGCCCCCCTCCTCCCCGTCCGAGAGGTCCTCGAACCCCGTACCGAAAAGGTCGTCCAAGTCGTCGAAAGCGCCGGCGGCGACGCCAGCGGCCTCGTCCGTCGCCCCCTGGCCAACACCGCTTGGGGGAGCCGCCGAGCCGCCCTGCACACGGAGGAAACACAAAGGGGGGACCGGCCGGCGCTCGGCAATGAGACACGCGGGTGACGATTGCATTGCGTCTGGTCCGACGAAGCTCAAGAGGTCAAGAGGAGCTACCGAAGCGTACATCACCCGTCCCTCCCGCTACAGCTGTTGTACGTTCCAGCGACGGATGTGCATGGGGTTGACTTCATCTGCATCTGTCAAAGGCATGCCACGATCTTTGTCCATAGCACGTGTCAGGCAAGGGGTGTGTGTGTGCGCGCGAGAGAGAGAGAGAGAGAGAGAGAAAGGGAGAAATAGAGTTTCAAAACGGGTGTGCGTCTTGCTAGTCGCAACTGCAGTGTCGCATCTCTCTCTTCCCTGTTCTCTCTCTCTCTTTTACCTGTACGATGCAGAACAGAGCAACGCATACGGAAGGCGTCCGCGTCAGTTGGACCAGTACGGACAATAAAAGGTACCGAGCGGAGACCGGAACAGTTACTAACGTGAACACAACAACAACATTGTGGGTCGTCATACCATACCATACCTGGTGACTCAGCATCTTGGCCTTGAGTTTGTCTGCAAACGAAGCGGGTCTCGAACGCTCGCCCTCACCCATCGCTTTCGCACGGACAAACAGACAGGCAGACAGGCAGACAAGACAGATAAGAACCCCCAAGAGAGAAAAAGCCGCGGCCAGTCCAGGGAGCAAGACATGGTCAGGCCGCCGACCGACATGGTCGTTCGCAGGCAAAGCCAGCCGATACAGCTGAAAGTGGTGGCGTTGCCGCGAGCAGGCGGTGCAGAGAACATGCACCAGTCGACGGGGTGGTCACCTTGACGAGCAGTCGAAGGACACAAATCGGAACGCGACCGGACCTTCTAAAAGGCTATCCACAAGTGACACCGCGCAGCCGAGATGGGCCACTACTACATACAACATCGGCAAAGATTCCACGGGGCCGCCCTCACCTGTCGGCAGCAGAGGGCCGTCCCCAGGCACATCGATATCTACGTCACCAAACGCGTCTTCCTCCTCCTCCTCGTCCTCCATGAAGCGCCGCAGGACGGTGGCTTCCATGCCGATAACCCCCCCTTCCACCCCCCCTTTCCCGCCTCGGCCCCCCGCCCCCGCCGCGGCCTCGAGACCAGACACCACGGCCGAGGGCTTCCGAAACGACCCCAAACCCACGGCCGAGCCGGCAGAAAACCCGCCGCCGTCCCCGCCCGCTCCCGTCGCAGCCCCACCCCGCACGAGCCCCGCTCCTTCTCCGGCCAACCCACTACCTCCCGCCCCCGCCTTGCCGTTGCCCGAGGCAATGGCCACGTCGAAGGCATCGAAGGCGTCGCCGTCGCCGTCGCCGAAACCGTCGTCATCGTCGTCGTCCGCCCAGTCGTCGAGCGCGTTTGCGTCCAGGCTCATCTTCTTCAGCACCAGGGGCTGGTTTCGCGCTTGCTCTGTTTTAAGGCGCGGGGAAAGTCCAAGTATGGGGAAGAGCGAGAGCGGGTTGTCTGTCGGTCGGCCGTGCGCGATGGGAGACGCGTCGGGATCGGTGTGCTGGTGAGGAAGGCAGGCGGGCGTATGCATGGACGTAAGGCGTGGGGCCTAAGCCGTGTGTATGGAGAGAAGGGGCCGAGTCAACCCAAGGCTCTCGCCCTCACCACGTGGGAGGGGGCAGCGAACGACACACCCATCTTGGTTGCATCAGCATCAGCACCAGAGCAGATCACTACTGCGAACACGAGGAGGCGTTCTTATCAACATCCCCGCACATTCTCACCAACTACCCCGATCGCTCACCTTCCGCCGCTTTCAGGGCCCTCAGCCGATGCTTGGCCTCCTCCGACGCCGGCGCCATGCCCGTCTCCGCCGCCGCCCCCGCCGCCGCGGCCGGCTGCTGCTGCTGCTGCTGCTGCTGCTGCCCGCCACTTCCGGTGGCCGGCGAAGACCCGACCGCAAGGGAAGGCGCCACGAAACCGAGCTCCTGCCATCGGAAGAATTCATCGACACGCATATTTCCGCGCCGCCGAACAACGAACGCGCACCAACAAAGCAGGACGCGCACGCACATCAAAAACAAGCGGCACCGAAGAAAACGCAATCAAGACCGCATAAAAAAAGGGGGGGAGAGATACAACCAGCTGGCTGATTCTGATGAGTTTCGTGGAGGGGTACCGCACGATGATCAAACAGCCCCGGACAGCAAGCGGGGCAAGAAAGTGCACCAGGAAAATGACCACAGGCGCCGGTTCCAAAGCCGCTCACAATCATGTCTCTTTCCTCTTTGGCCCGGTAGCCCTCTCACCACGTACCTCAACACCAGGGGTACGACCCACCCCCTGCCCCATCCCCTCCCATCAAGACAACCCGTTTCCTTGTTTTCTCTCTCTCTCTCTCTCTCTCTCTCTCTCT